ACTATAGTATACTTATACGTATATATATATATAGTATACTATATATGATTAAGTGCATTGTTAATTCAACGTTACCTCCATCTTTAACAGTACAAATTAAGTGAGATATTACTGATAGGTAAAATAGTAACACCAGATTTTAAATATACTGTTTATACTGTATTATGATCAACTTGAAATGTTTATAATTATGAAACTTTTCTGGAAACTAAAGTGAAATTATTCAATGTAAGAATGCTTGATAAAGAAATTTCAAAATTTTTTGTTTTTTTTTTCCAGGGGGAAGGTGATGATTCTGATATTGATATTCATGATGTTGTTGATATGTCGTTATCTGCAAGAGCTGTAGAACAAGCAGAACATCTAGTTAGAAAGGTTTTGGAAGAAGCTGAGCAAGCTGAACTTTTAGTGAGGAAGGCTTGGGAGGAAGCTTGGAAAGTATGTAAAAATTGAATAATAAGTAGTAAAAGTGCTGCCTTGTCTTTTATTGGACAAGTGTGTGAAATTTTTGAGAAAAAAAACATTTTAGCCAAGGGGAAAAAAATGCTTGAAGAATCCACTTGTTTTTCTTACAAATTTTTATGCACCCTTTCATCTCATAAAAAAAAACAAACACAAAAAGTGGAATATAACTTTATGACTTTTATTCAGCAGTGAACATCTCAGTTTTGTTTGGAATGGCATATGCCATGTTTTGCTTCTAAGTTCTACATATATAATTGTTCATGAATTTTATGGTTTTTAAAATTTAATCCATTGAGTTCACTGTGCAGCAGGTAGAATACCCAACACTTGAACTGATAAAAAAAAATTCATGGTTTACATTAGTATTGCCGTGAACAACTATGGTGTTTATATATATATCACGGTTTAAAGCTTTTTGTAATTTTTATTATGTTATTTATTTTTCCTAAAGCTGGCACTCTAACTTACCTGGGTTTCTACTGTGACAAGCAAAGTAATATTACTGTTATATTAACTTAACTATGTTTGTCACTGTGGAATTGTGCGTGTGTGACTAAGAATTTGTGATTTATAGGGATATACACGTTTATATATGTGTGTGTTTTGGGTTGAGCTTTACATTTTTAAATGCTTTTATGTATGAGCTATAATTCCACAGTGAACAATTATCAGGAACTTGTGGGGATCCATAGATATCTGCTCAGAGTTTTTTTTAGCAATAAAAATTAATGTGAATGATGTGAAAAATTACTACTTGTCCAGTGAGCAAAGTATAACTAAAACTTGCTGTGCTGGGCATAAGGAATTATATGAATTCTACACCCTTGCACAAGTAAGTGAAGAAGATGGAAAGTTATAAATAGTTATTAAATAAATTGAACTGCTAAGTTGTCTGAAAAATGCTAATGCTTTAATGGTAAAATTTATGGTAATTATCTGTTTAAAATATATATGTATATGTGTGTTTGTGTGATTTTTAACTTTATTGCTGAGTTTATATGACCCAAATTGCAATGTCATATTACAGATTACTTGAAAGCCTTAATGTAAAAACATAAACATTGTGCCAGAACATCTTTTCATTACTACACATTGGGTTGTTATTTAATGATCTTTTCATATGTTGAACATAATATTTTATCAATAGTCTGACCTGAAGACGAAAGGCAGAAGACTTTCGAAACGTCGTCCTCTACAAAGTTTCATCATGAATACTCTACCTAAACAATCTATCAGAGAATAGTCTGATATTGTTTTGTTAAACCAGGAATCAAAAGTTAATCATCACACATACAGGGTTAAAATGAACCTTTTTTTTATCATTTCCAGTAATTTTATTCTTAAATAATATGTTAATGTAAGTTAAACATGACTTCAGTATAATATCAAGGATGATGATTTTACACAGTGTGTTTATAAAAAAAAATCTGAGTTATTTGTTTCACATGTGAGTAAATTTCTGAAAAACTGTTAATTTAGTGTTAATGAATTGGTCTTGAGAACAAGAACATTAATTTTAGTTTTGTAATCACAATGGTAGCAGAATGTCCAAAGTCTTTGGGGCACAGACTCCAAACCTTCCAGAAACTTAGATGTGAAGTAGTTAAACCAATATTTGTTTTAAGTGAGTCCCCTGTGGACTCGTGTTGTCTGTAAAGTAGTGAATAAAAATAGCACACCCATCTCACTGAATGTAATGCTGATGTTGGAGATAGTACACATAGGAAACTTTTTTAACACATATTGATGTGCTGCTCAGAAAGAACTGGTTTAAACTCAAATAAGATGTTGTTTTAATTATATTTGGTAAATTACAATTTCCCAATCTCCATACTGACAATCACTGAAATTTAGGGTAGGAGATGACTGACGTGAGAATGTTCCTGTTGCCTCTATAATAAATTTTTCAGGCCTTGGTAGAAATCTTCCATGTCCCAACAAAACCCTTTGGTGCAGGTTGTGCAGAACTATTCTGCAACCATAGCAGTCACAACACACTTGAATAAAGAAGTTTGAGGGTCAGTACATGTAGGTTTTTGTTAATCACCCAAGTTGGAAGTTGAGTCTATTGGATGTCACCTCTTGCTGCATCTTCTTTTATTATAGGATTAAACCCAAGTGCTAGGCTGTAAGTATTACAAATTTATTTTTCTTGTTACTGAAGATACATCTGAAGTAGAATTATGAATTTGTACGGACTTTCATAAAATCCTACATTTAAATTACGATTTCATGAACAGCTTTTAGGTGTTATATTATTTTGATATAATTCTTTTGTCATCACCTGTAGTGTAACTTGGCTTGGGTTGTGCTTTTATCATTTAATAGAAATGATAAGCTTATTGGTGAGAAAGGGGAGGAATCATAGCAGTAACTGAATGATGTTGTCAGTCTGAGTTATTGAATATATTTTTCTAAACTATTTATGCATCAAATAGTTTTTAAATCCATAAATCTTTGTTTATGGGGTCCCTAGTAGCATATGAGTCACATACAGAAATTTAAACAAAAATATCATCAATATTGCAATAATTTTCACTAGTTATTGTTAGAGTTCTGTTTGTGTTTTCATTGAAAATGAGTGATTTCACTCAATTTAATTTTTCTTTTTCTATGCAGAATATTGTAACAGGAAAAATCATGAATTCACTCAGTATAATACAATAGACCTTACTGGTTAAAAAACCAGATGGTAATTTAAGGGTTAGAAAGTTCTCTGTTCATTATGCTCTTTAATTCCTAATTTTTTTACATTAAATTCTGAAACCAAATTTTAAGCCAAGTGGATAGGCGGACCCAGAAAACATTAATACAGTACCTTCTTAGTTTACAATACAGTCAATAATCAAAGAAGAAAATAGTCTAGGGATCAACAAGAATGAGGTAACACACAAAAAATTAAAAAGTTTAAAATGTGTACTTAATCTAACAAGTGTTTTTCTTTTACCTGTTATGGTATTACTCAGTTAAAGATTTGTGTTTATTAGCCCCTCACATAAGGTTAAACAATGGTCTTCTTAATTGTTTACAGTAAATAGACTGGTTCTTTCTCATGTTATTCACAGGTTTGTCACTTCACTGCTCTGCCACGTTGGCTTCAAGACAATGACTTTATTCACAGAGGACATCGACCTCCTCTCCCATCCTTCAGTGCTTGCTTTGGTTCCATCTTTCGTATCCATACAGAGACGGGTAATATTTGGACTCACCTTCTGGGTAAGTGGGACTTATCCATGAACTGCAGTTAAACCAGTTTTGTAAAATGTCAAATTATTTCTGAATTTGGCTTCTGTGACTATTTTGTTTTGCTTTGATGACTGAGTGATACATGATTGTGATCTATTTCAATAAAGATGTGATTTTAATGCACCATAAAGTATACTTTTTAATTATTTATCTTTTAATTTTATGCTGGAAATAATGTGTTCAGATTAAAATCCAACTAATATATGCATGTTATTACTGTATTCAAGCATTAGCTATTTCTAAGTTATATTTTTTATTGGAGTTAAGTGAAACTACATCTGATCATTCTTTTTAGATAATCGTCTTCTTGTTACCATAAGTTGCTTAATGATTAGCATGTAGGGCTGTGGATCAAAGGGTCCAAGATTTGAGACATGATGCCACTGAACATCTGCATATTGAACTGTAGGTGTATTATAAAAGTGACAGTTAATCCCATTATTTGGTTCAAAGAGCCAAACAAAGCCTAGAAAATTAGAGATAACTACCTGAATATTACGGGTGTTTAAGCCCATGTGTGAAAAGGTGGCACTCAGTTTAGAGTTCAGTTCTTTATCAGAATTGTTTTCTATTGCTTTAGAAATATATTTTGGACTATAATCATATTAACTGTTTTAATTTTGATAGCTGTAGAGAAATAATTTCACTTGCATATCACAGGAACGTCTTGGCTTTCTAAATTATTTAGATATATTTTAGCCATTACTTGTAAGTTATTTGCCCCTTTTTAATAAAAAAAAAAGTTACATATAGATTTTTATTGGTTAAATTTATTGTATTATAATGTAGCCTTTTTCTACTTATGTTTATATGTATTCTCGCTTATTTTTACTTTGAAAAATTATATTCAACTTCTGTTTCTGAGCATTCTAATTTTGAAGTGAGTTAATGGTGTGATATAAGGTGGACAGTAATATATGTCACTGCCGTATTGTCAGTCATTGCTAGGCTTAGTTATAAAGTTGGTAGCATAGCAGCCAGCCTCTACTTGATGTTTTGGCTTGTAATGGGTCAAA